CCCCTTTCAGAATCAGATCTAAACCCCCCTCAAATGCCCCCAATCATCCACTCCACTCGCTGCAAATCCACAATTTCCTCTCTCTCCTCTCCACTTTCACCCCCACCAACGACCACACGCCCACCACCCCCACCGCCACGACCCCCGTACCCAAGAAAAAGAACATAACATCTGGGTCCACCTTCAGGGGCTTTGGATGTACGGCATCGTCACAGGTCTCGGTGCGGCGGCAATCCGCAGTTCGGCAAACTGGGAGACGAAGAAAGTGAGGAAGAAGAAGCAGAAGAAGAACAATCCCTCGAATCAAGTTGTGGCAATGGCGAGTAATAACAATTCGATTCACAATCGTCGTCCGCTTCCGTTGTTGTTCCTGATGTTTGGTGTGGTCTTACAACTGATGCTGCCTCAGTTGATTGTGTATCATCAAGAAGGCCAGGTTCTGCAAGGGTGAGAGGTGATGGTGACAGATTTAATAGGAGAGAGGTAGGCCTCTTTTCAAAACAAAGATGGCCATCTTTGGATTTGTTTTGAAGACAGTTTTCTGTTTCTTGAAACGGAATATTTATTTTGTAAAGGATTTTTTTATTATTGTTTTTGGATTTTTTTTTGAAGCCCATTTTTATAAGACAACCAAACTTCTTATAAACAATTTTCTCTCAAAAATGAAATCCACAAAAAACGATGGAGTTTTCAATGTTTATGGAGTTTCAGAGAGAAAATTGAAAGCAATGAACAGAAACCACAAACAAATGAAAAAATTACCTGAAGTAACTATCAAAAAAGTTAACCAGACTGATCTAGTCTCCCTATGCTTCTCTCTCTTGCAGCGTGTTGCGAGTGAATTTTGGTTTCTGGGTTTGATTTTGGGAATTGGGAGATCTTGAATTTATACCCGGACCTGAGTTTCTTCCAGGGAAACTAGAACGTTGTTGTTTCTTAATATTTGCCTTGATTTTTTTTTTTTCTGTTAATGTGTATTGATGTTTTAATAGTTGATCTTCAGTTATTACTAATTGTCGGTGTTCATCACGTTTGCTTGATTTTCTGGAGGTTCTTTGAAAGTTTTTTTTCCCTATGATTAATCATTATTAACATACTACTCTTCTCCGCATTTCATTCCACAAATGAAGACAATTATATATTACTCCATTTCCCACCGTTAATTACTGAATCGTTTAACACGTGTTCAGTAGATATAAAGTTTATTATATTAGTACTTCGAATTTTTGCTGCCAAGCTAGGAAGTCTTATTGATTATTCAAACCACTCCTGTATACCTTGATCAGTATGTATCATGCGCTCTTGTTTAATTCATTTCTGTTGTGTATTTAATTTTTCTAATGTTGACTAAGTGCTTGTTAAGTATTTTGGATCAGTATGCTTTATGTCTTCACTCTTTAGTTAATTTCCTTGTTTCTATCATAAGTTCGTATTGTCCTTTTGTTGTGTACTGGTGCATGAAATCTATTCATTTTCTCATCAGCACAACTCTACATTATCATACTTGTTCCTAGGAAATTTTATGCATAGGCTAAAACTGCTTAACTTATATTGCATTGGCAGCGCCCTTCTCATTCTGCAAGGAGAGGGGTAAACCCTGAAACCATGCCCTTCATAGACTCTGACCATTCCTTTGGAATGACACACTCGGGATGGGATATATTTGGACCAAGGTATCATCGTCACATTCGGCATCATTCTCCCGATGGTCTTGCAGAGGTGTGCCTGTGTATATCTTGTTTTTGTTCTCATGTGACTATGGACTTTCCTTTAATTCCAATGTAGAACTTTTATTTATTCAAAATAGTTTTCGAGTCCTTTGATGCTTTTTTGATTTGAAAATTTAAATTAATATCAAATTATGCACCATGAATCATATATGCCTTTTTGCTTGAATACTTGTTTATCTGTTCTTCGTGTGCTTTTTTTCATATGCTATACTTGCTAAAAGAGTGGCTTCATAAATGTTTCTTCTTTTAAATGTAAACTGTTCAAATATTTGGCATGTAACTAGTTTTCATTTTGCTTTAAATATGATTGATTGCTTAATGGTGGATTCATGAAAGAGGGGTGAAAATTGAGGGTGTTAAGCTTTTATGCGCTATGCTTCTTTCTGTTTTTATTTATAGGAGAAATGGGATGCCTAACTGTTAACATTGAAGAAGTGTTATTGTCTGGTGTGGGGGCTAGGGCTAGGTGGTTGAATATATTGATGCAAAGCAATGGAGGAAGAAGGCTGACAAGGAAAGGGTGACATTTTTATAGAGAGAGCAATGCGAGTGAGCCTGATTATGAGAGAACACTAATACACTAGTAAATTATTTTTAGTATGCATTACAGATAGTGGGTGCACTAATGCCTCAAAAATGTCAATTTAGTGATCCCAAAATCCGTTGCCCTGTTTATTTATTAAGTATCTCCTTAGGACTAAAATAAGATAATATAATAAATTCCAACCTTGGGAAATCAAAGCTTTGGTGGTACCTAGTGAACAAGCATAAAATTTGCTTTAACGTGGTTAATTTGAAGAAAAAATGTTATATATTTTATTAGATATGAATGGTTAGAGACTGAATATATTTTATTAGCATTAAATTCTAATGCTAGGACTGAAATAAAATAATATAATATATTCCAACCTTGGGAAGTCAAGGTTTTGGTGGTACCAAGCATAAAATTTGCTTTAACGTGGTTAATTTGAAGAAAAAATCCTACAGATTTTATTAGATATGAATAATTAGAGACCTGATAAATTAAATTCTAATGCTACATTCTACCGAAACCTACTCCTATACTATATTTTGAACACATAAAACACCATGTCCAAGTTCCATTCCACTTAAAATGATAGAGCCACATTTTCGGTAAAATACAGGGAAACTCTATCATATAATGGAGATATGACATTTGGAACACTTAAGTTTAGTCCCTGACTTCCTCTACAAAGTCCTCCAAAAGTTCCTAACAAACTTGGCATCCCTACTAGATCCATTAGAAGTTGAAGCGCCTTGTTGCTTCACTAATTCTCTGTGCAGAATAGACCACTGACTCTATTGCTTCTGAAGATTTTGAACATGAAATAAAGGGTGCCATTTTTTGAAAAGAAGCAACTACAACAACAATTCATGTCCATTTGCTGTCTTTGGAATTTCCAATGCAAAATCCATTCTCAAATAAATTCAAGGATTTTCTGATTCTGTTAGAATGCCGAATCCTGTCTTTATGATGGAGGTTTTTGGAAATAAGCAACTAAAACAAGAATGGAGTCATGTCCATTTGCTGTCTTTGGATCCAATATAAAATCCATTCTCGAATGAATCCATGGAACTTCTGATTCTGGTAGAGTGTAGAATCCTGTCTTTTTGAGCTTCTCTTGCTAAATTGGCATGGTGAACGTCATTTCACCAATCTGTCCATGTGTTTGGCCAATAATATTTGATAAGATGCAAGCCACTCCGGTGGATTGCTCTTATAATTTGTTCATGCAGGAATCCTTCTGGAATGCACATTGCTGCAACAACCTTGGTACAACTTCCATTATTGTAAAATAAAAAAGGTCCCATGTTAGGTTTTGTTGGGCTAAGGAAGAGAGTTGCCATGAAGAAATTTTGGTGCCAAAAGCCCATGCTGGAAGAACATATCCTGTCAGACTGGCTTGAAATATTTTGACCTGTTAATTTGTAATTTTTTTGTCTGCCAAAAATAATTGGAAGTGGAACACTTTGGTTTGTTGGTAATGTTTATGCTTTAAAAAATTTTGCTCACTAAAAAAGGAAAATACTTTTGATAAACTATTTGCAGCTTTCAAAGCTAGCAAAATTTCTGCTTAGATTTGTTTACAAAAAAAATTCACGTTCCATTCTTGTCATCCTAAACATTTTTTTTCTTTTCTGATTCTGATTTTCCTTTAGGTAAGCAAAGACATTGTTCACTCGCTATCTCTCTCCCCCTTCCTCTCTCCCTCTTCCTTTTCTTTATAGACGTAAACAGGAAAAAGTAAAAGTTATCACACCTAACTTTAACTTTTGTATTGTACTTCCTCTCATTGAAGATAGGTTTATGGGTCAAATTGACTGTTTCCATGTCCATACCAGTAAAAATGCAGAGATATGAAATTCTTTAAATGGAAGATATTGCTCTCTGCACTTGGCATGGCAAAGCCACCTAGAATTTAGTGGGATCAAATGGCCCTGTTGAAGTTCTAGAAAAAAATTAGAATTAGATTGAAATCTCATGCTAAAAAATGATCTCACTAGACTTCTTAATTGGAAGATGATGAAGCATTGTTAGAGCATATAATTTCATCAAACTCATTGTTTAAGCATATGTGGTGCAAGCATAATCCAATTTAAATTGAAGATGTTACCATATATAATTTCTCCATAAATTCATGGATTTTTTGAGTCTTGAAAAATTAGAAGTTTTGAGTATTAAGTGTGACTTATATTGTGGTTATTAGTAGTTTGTAAATAAGAGATGCATAAACTCTGTAATATATTAGAATAAACAATATTGAAAGATTAAACTGTTATCTAGATAGAATTTATTGCTGTGCCACTGGTAGTATATACAATACCTTCTAGTGAATTTCATGCTAGATAGGATTAATTAAGGAAGCTTCTACTTCAACGTTTGGTTAGAGTTTTCATCTTGTTAAAATATAACATGTATCTTAGCACAATACTTACCATTCTGCAGATTATGATGCTCCAAAGTACACTGCTGGGGGGAGGAAGATCTGACAGACTTGATCGATACAGAGACTGGAGACTTGATGTTGATAGTATGTCGTATGAGGTCTGTTAATTTTATCACCGAATGCATCTTTGATCCTTTTGTTTGTGTAGAGATTGTTTGGTAATGCTTATGTTTCCAAAAAGTGATCATGTTTACATTACAAAATTTGTGAAAACTTCAGAAGTTCTTCTTATTTTTGTTCAAAAAAACTTCACCATTCCCATTTTCTTTGTCCCCGGTCAAGTTTTTGATTTTCTCATTCCATGAGGGTATTGTTCTCGAATATCTATAAACATTAAAAGAAAAAGGGAAAACACTAACTTTGTTTAACACTAGTACTGTCTGGGAAGTTTTACTGTTCTACAATGCTGCATAAACTGAAAGCATTTCATTTATTGGTTGAAACAGGAATTGCTTGAGCTTGGTGATAGAATTGGATATGTGAATACTGGACTGAAAGAAGATGAGATAGTTCATTGCTTACAGAAAACGAATCTTTTGGATAATTTGTTTTCACAGTACCCCGCTGAAATGGAATGGAAGTGCACCATTTGTCAAGTTAGTAAATCCATATTTTCTAACAGTAACTCCTCATTGCAACTTTTTCTTCCAAATGTATTATTGTGTGTAGTTTATTCACATAAGAATAATGGTATTTTGTGTTTCCCCTGTGCAGGAGGACTATGAAGCCGAGGATGAGGTTGGGAAGCTGGAATGTGGACACTTCTATCATATTCACTGCATAAAGAAGTGGCTTCTGCAAAAGAATGCATGCCCTATCTGTAAAACATCGGCAGCAACTCAAGAATGAGGCTTTGCTGTTCTCCAACTCCAGTGTATAGTCTCAATATCTTGCACAAGCATTTTCTCCTTCCTTTTTTTTTTTTTTTTTTTTTTTGAGTTTGGTGGTTTTGTCTTTATATATGCATTAAATTTGGAAAAAAAAAGTGATGGGTGTTGTTCATTGAATCACAATTCTATTTTCTTATATACTCCCATCAACCCCGCCTCCCCACCCCCCCCCCCCCCCAAAAAAAAAAAAAAAAAAAACTAAAATTCAATATGTAATGCTTTTGCTATCCTACCCTACCCGTCAGTTTTTTTATTTATATTGTGAATGCTATTGATGACTCTGGATTTATTTAATTTTTGTAGTTCATTGAAATGACTATTCACGATTCTGAATTAAAGTGTTAGTTTCAAGGCCATCGTGTTCATCGCTTTACTTTTTCTGTCAAGTGAAAAAAATCTATTTCAACTCCTCTCTTGGCAATTAGAAGCCAGGGAGGTATCATAGCCTTCCTTGAGTTCTCTGGGTTGAAAGTCAAATACAAAAGTTTAAAAGGTCAAATGACCGATTAGACTCTTAAACCTAATTCACCTCCTTGGTTTACATTTACTTAAACATTATTTTAAGACAACACAAGCCCAATTATTGGAATTGTTCTGTCTGTCCAGTGATTGAAATGAAACGCAAACTTGTCTCCAACGTCGAGGTCCTGACGGTTTTTACAGAGTCTGTATTGTTGACTTGTTGAATTGCACGCCTGGGAAATCCTACCTTAAACAAGCATCAATCTTGATCAGGAGACTGCTAAAAACTTGGTACTTCAGTTCTTTTTTATAAATATATTTCATCAATGTATAACTAGATCCCAAAAAAAAAAAAAAAGGTTCATATTAAACGGGTATGGCAGTTGGGGCAGAATTTCTATATCTATAGCTGGTGTGTCTCAAGAGAACAACTAATTGGATCAGGTTTGCGGATATTATCCTTACGCGGGATGCAGGGCCCATGCTTGTCCCGCTGCTATTTCTAAATTGAATGACAGAAAGGTCCAGAATTTTAAGTCATACTACATTAACAACCCTCTATTTGCCCTGGCAAAACAGTTGTCATAGTTAATAGATGACATGTCACCTAAAAGATTCCGTCAAAAGGGAAATCCTTGAACTCGACAAAAGGTTCATCCCTCGGACTTCGGCCCTCTGCTTGGACCAAAAAAGAAAAGAAGAAAAAGAAAGTGATTCTGGTGACTATTTTGCTCTAATAATGATGATATCATTTTTGAAGATGGCTAGATCGTAGATGTTGACATCAAAACCACGTTTTATCAAACCCATCAATCTAATTGACATGAATTTTGATGGCAACTGAGTTTCCAAGTTTCAAGATCTGATTTCCAAAAGGGTAAAATTAATGTCATTACAAGTATCTCAACTCCCTATGCAAAATCCAATGCCATGTGAGCGTGTCCTCTACTTCACAAGTCTCCATAAATTATAATCGCTTATAATGACTGTCCGATTTCTGTAATTAAAAATTCACATATGATTTAGGTTTTTACCAATTCAATTATTTTAAAATCAATTATAAACAAAATGCGATGTCTAACTCACGAACGTGACAAATGTTCAAAGAAATAGATAATGAATATGATCACGAAATATCTCAAACATGGGACGTCACATCAATGCAAATAAATTTCTTAAGATAGTTTATAATACGATATAAATGATTTTTGATAGAATGAGAATAAGAGTGAGAATAAAAATAGAATGGAATCAAGATTCCTAAAAGTATGTTTAGTGTACACTCATGGAATAATAATTCCTATTCCATTATTATATTTGGTGTGTTGGAAAAGAGATAAGAAAATAAAAAATATATATTTAAGGACAAAAATACCCTTTGTTATAAAGATTTAAAAATTAAAAAAATAACTTTTAATATATTTTGCACGTATTAAAATAATTAAAAAATTAATTTTTTTATTCTAACATTAAAATATTAAATTCATATATATGTGTATTTGTATGTATATATATAATAAGTTATATATATTATATAAATATAATAAATGATATAATATATCATATTATACAATTTATTATATTATATTAGATATATATAATACATAATTATATTATATAATTTATTATAGTGTAATACAATATATTAATATATAATATTATAAATACTTAATTTTTTATATCTATATGATATTTTTATTATTTACTTAAAAAGTAAAGAATAATATAATAATTAATGCTTAAATAAGGATTCCATCACTCTGTCAAAGGAATTCGGATTCCTTTATTTGATGGAATCAAAATTATCTTTGATCCAATCCATGCTTGTGATCAGTTGATTTTTATACCACCACTAATACCCCTCTCTCATGGACAAGAGACCCATCTCACTCCATGCAAAAGGAACATGAGTAAGAAAAACAACTCGTACTAGCACCCTAAATACTATCTATCAAGAAAAGGAAATATTTACTCTATACATTCCGTAATTTATACATTGTTCATTGTTTCTGTCTCTGTTTAGAAACACGTCAACGCCTCTAATATATGGGAGTTTGTTACTTCTTCATTCACATATAACTGACATTATCATACTGCTCACGAAACTACCACCGAACTCCTCTATGAAATGTGTAATAGTTCTATTTGTATGATTCTAGTCATTGCTCTTTCTTCACTGACAATGTGAAGAAATGGCACTGCTTTCTACAGCAATATACATAAATTTACACTTACATGTTTCATATGCACAAGCTAGGAAGAGATTCTCCCTTTTCCACAAGGTATTTCAGCGGAACTGCTTCTTATCCCCCAAAGAAATCAAATGAAGTGACATCTCTGGTGGCTTTAAAATGGAAAATTCTGTATCTTATATCAGAAATCAAGCTGTATCATGAAGACTGAGAAATTCAATTATACATGGATAAACTTGATCTGTTGCCTGCATTTATAAAATTTTGAACGCATTAAAATACTATGAAATTACTGCAACAAAATTCATATTACACGAGAGGAACATTAACCAGAAGAAGGATCAGGACATACCGCATAGCCTCCCACTAAGTTGTAGTGACCATAATGTGGACCACCAGGTTCACCAAAAACTTTAAGGTAACCAAATCCCTTGGAATAAGCTTGGCCGTCTCTGCATCACAAATTAGACCCCATTTAAGAAAATGAAATTAGAGCTCATGAAAAATTTACAAGACATATATTAAAATTTTCAACCATATACAGCTTCTGGGGGCAAATAAGGTCCTGATCTCCAGCAAGTGCTAAAGTTGGCACTTTGATTTTATGCAGATGATCTTTATAAAAGAAACTTCTGCTCCTGTCACACAGTCCACCTCCTTGGAAGGCTGTTGTCAGCTGCACAAGAAGCTTAGTTGGTATATTACCTGTAGAATATTGAAGACCGCATCACCATTATTGTAATAAAGAGTGTTACGAAAGAAGACCAATACCCTGATATAATTGAAATATAATGAACCAACTCTTAAGAGAACAGAGTTCCAGAAGTTCTGTCCCAAAATATAACAAGCTAAATTCTGTGAATTATGGAGCATCCGTCAGGAAAAAATGTAAATTAGGGACACGAACAATAAATCTTACTAGTAACTTTCAGTGATTGTACATTTATTTGAAGGACCTACATTAAGTTTTTGTCTTTTTGCACTAGTTATGGCCCCTCAGGTTGATCTGACTAAAAAAGTGAAATATAAAATTGTTGGTGCCTGTTATTTAAAGATGATATTATTTATTGATGAAACAAAAGTAGTGCTAGATTAAAACTTCAGGGAGAAACTTCAGAATCCAGAGGGTTTAAGATAAGTTTAAAGTAAAATTGGGTACATAGAATGCAATTTTTGTTAAATTCGAGATATCAATGAAGAATAGTTGACATTTAAGCCCAAGAAAATGCCTTACAGTGAGCAGTTTCAATATCTAGGCCCTTATCAAATATAGGATGGGAGATATTGGTGCAGATGTTATTCACATGACTCAAGTGAGATGGACTCAGCAGAGAAACCCGAGCCATCCTTTCTCTCGAACACGGTTTGTGAAGCCCTCATTCCAGAACCAAGGCATACACTAGCCCACATCCTCAACTCGATCCACTGGACTCTAATCCATCCATGTTTTGCATTAAAATCCAACCTAAGCCCACAACCAACACAGACCAAACCCAGCATTTTTTCCTAAGCCTGATCTGGTCCATTTATTTTGGCTCCAACCCATGCTGAGACCTTATTCAAGGAGGGCCAAAAAGGGGGGGGGGGGGGGGGGACACAAAGGAAAACTTTTACTGAAGAAGAAGGCCACAATCTTGATTTGACACAGCAGATGGGGGCCTAGTATAGATACAGACAAAGCCAAGATCAACACAGAATACTCAAAAATCGGAAGGAATCTAAGAAATTGGTAGGAACAAAAGGTGCAAAGGGAAAAGGAATACCTTGGTGCATTAGAGTCCAAGCAATTGAAGAAACAAATGAGGTTGCACTTATAAACTAACAAAGAGCAAGATGAAGATGACACTGGGAAGGTTAATGATAGACATTACAAAAGCAAAGTCAATAAAGAGAATTTTGTGGAAGATACTTCAAACTTGAAAGATATTCCAGTTGCCAATTTTATTATCCCTGTCAAGTTTATCACTGCAAAAGAAGAAAACTATTCAAGAATACCCTTTATTTCATTCTGGAGATCAAATTGGATTTTTACCCACGGTTTAATAGTTGAGGTTGTCCTACCTTGTTCACAACAAAACCCAAGAAAAAGAGTTTTTCAACCTAAAGAGAACAATGCAGAATGCTATCATGGAAGGAAACCAAAGATTAGAAATCTAAGATTCTTTATCTCCTTGTAGTTTTTATTTATTAGGAAATTTAAGTTCTGGTAGGATTTCCGTTTGGTAATTATTGTTGATGGAAGTAAGACTATATTGAAATTATTTCTTAAAATCTTGGATTTATTTAAGATCCCTTAAAGTTCTCGTAGGTTTGGGGTTGTAATTGTAATAATTACAAGTTTATAAGACTTGTATGCATGTCTGTGGGCATGGGTGATCCCTTGTGAGGGTAGGCATTCTTTCTTTAATTCCTTTCCTAGGTCTACATCTTATTCTACATCAAGCAGTCATTACCTCACCCCCTACATGGGAAGCAGGGAATTCCAGTCCTATCAGAGACATGTTTACCTCATATTTTCGATGTACTAAAAGCAAATAGGTAATAAAAATGTACAAAACATCAGTCAAGCCCAAGAGTGGGTGGTAATCCTATGAGCTTTAATCCTCTTGCCATCTGAGGCCGTTGAATTCTGATGATTCCACAAGCTCATGTGTAGGGATGTAAATGGATTCGGGTTTTGCAGGTACCTGAACCATTTACCCGACTAGGATTTGGATTTAGCCATTATAATTCAGTTTCTAGTCGGGTTTGAGTTTGGATATGGTTTTATGTAATAATGCCTGAATACCTGAATATCCATACTTATATACCTATATTCATATACTCATATACCCGAATTATATACCTAAATTTCATACATACATACATACATATATATATATGTGTGTATATATATATCTTGTCTATATAAATATCTATTCACATATTTATGTATTACATCCTAAGATATTTTTCTTATATGAACATCATAACTCATAAGACATATAATATTGGAAGTTCAAAGATTTTTGAAAGATTATAAAAACATATTTTACAAAAAAGAAAGGATTTAACTATTTATATAAAAATATGTAATCATTAAATTGAAAAATACCATTTAATACAATTAAATTACAATGATGAAACTAAACTTTAATAACTATACAAATTCACATTTAATAATTATTCTATTAAATACTTGAAAAACAAAAAAATGATTTTGAACTAGTACAAAATATAACTTATATGTGTTTATCACACTCACAACATACTAATCAAATTATTATTCAATTTTGACATATAAAATAAATATTAAACAAAACAAAAAATACCGTTCTTGATACAAACTATAATTTAAACTAATAAAAATTATAATTATAATAAAATATTTACTAAAATTATAATAAATTAATTCAAATAAATTTAAAAAATGCTTAAAGTTTTTGATTGATTTAGAGCAAAGCACGTAGTGGCTAAGATGATAAATATTTACAATAACCATTTATCATTCTCTTAGGTGGTTATAAAATAGAGGCTTTGAACAATTTTCTAAAAGATAATAATTGTAAATATAAAATTATCTTGTTACTCTATTCAATTTGAAAGTCTTATATTTTTAATATTATCTACTTAATAAATATAAGTAAACTATGCTCTATAGATTGAAATCCTTCATTTCAAAGATAATTGTGAATGAAAAAATATGTAAATAATTTGCACCTATTATGCTTTCATAATCCTAATCCATTTTTGAGTTACTCTTTTTATTTTAGTTGATTTCAAAACAAGAAAAATGCAATTGTTAAAAATAATTAGTTTAAACATATGTTTGAGAAACTTGAGAGATAAAAAGGAAAGGAAAAAAAAATAAAAAATCCTTACTATTTTCTCTATTTAGATAATTTTAGAATACATTATAAATTGAAATTGTCTATTTTTTTGTTAAAATAAGAAAGAATTTTAAAATAAATTATGAATTGCAATTGTCTCTTTTTGTTAAAGAAATTATCTTTTCTTAACTTTTAGAATTTCGAAAAAAATTGTAATTCTTTTGGAATTTATTGAACTTCTGTGATTATGTTACATACCAAATTATTTACTAAAAGTGAAATGGATATGGATATGGGTAATTCATATTAAAACAGATATAGATTTGGTTTGAGTAAATGATATATGAAACTAATGCAACCTCTCCAATATATAAGCTAGAAATTATTTACCACATTCCTCTTATGCATCTAAAAGCAGTAAAACAGAACTACTCACGTCAGCTAGGGAACCAAAATCATATACTCACAAAAGTTGTTCAAGATGAGTTTCTCAAACAACTCAGGATGCATCATGTTTTCTGCAGATATCTGGGAATTCAACCAAGACAAAATATAAGGAGAGGACGGACTGCAAGAGGGTAAGCTGCAGCAAGCAACGCTCCCAATGGAATAAGGGGAACATTTAAAGCCTGAGCAGGATCTGCCTGTGTAAAACATTATGAATTAAGCTCAGCTTTATAATCTAATTTAACTTCACTCATTACCATCTAAATAAAGAAATTTTTTCTTAAAACAACTGGCAGTCACTCCATTTACCAGGGGTAGAAGAAATTTTAGTGATGATTTTGAAGTCGTGTAGTCGAGGGATGAGCCCAAAGTAATGACTGATGCCAACAGAGTCCCGTCCATCAAAACCTTTCAAAGTAAGACACTAAACTGATTTAGTAATCAATATTTAGTGACAGAAACATCTTCACACCATGCAGCATGAAGATAACGTGCACTGATGATACCAAGCAATAAAACCTCTGTATTCAACATCAACATACTCCCTCTGCCACCACCAGCTGTAGTATACAACTTTCCAACAATTCATTTGTTATTATATTAGTATTAAACAGAGGTGTCCCCAGGCCATGAGTCCCCACTTTGCGTAATACTGGGGGGTTTGGACTTTATGTGGCCTTATCCTGCATTGTTCAGAGGCTATTTCCGAGGTAAACCATGACCCTTCCACTATAATTTATAATTTTTGGTTGAGAATTCAAGTCTCTAGATAATTTTAAAGTTGATAACAAATTCTAATAGAAGCAGTTTTTTAGTTTTAACATGTCTTTAAAGAATAGATCATTTCTCTCAAATGGTTATTTATTATCTAATGGTTCTTTTTATATTTAAAAGTACACTTATCGCAAAGTGTTGAAAATTTTTTCTAGGACTTTTTAACATTGAAAGCTAGTTTTTAAAAATTTTTGAAGTAAGCCTATGAGCTGTTACATTTAATCCAAGATAATTTTACTTCACCATAATATTCCATAAAAGTCTTCACTAAACTATGATTTCACAATTGTTGAGCAGATATATATAAGCACTGGCGTCTTCTAGTGAGGGTATTTCCTTTACTATTTCTTGAATTGTTAGAAATGAGAGAGAATAAGCAGATACTAAAATAGCAACAAGAGCTAAATGTATGAATGGAAGTAAAAAATCAGAGTAAAAGGACAACTATAATATAAATCTCTTCATTAAATGATATTCTCATGAGTATATATGAATGGAAGTAAAAAATCAGAATAAAAGGACAACTATAATATAAATCTTTTCACCAAATAATATTCTCATGAGTACTAATTTAAAAGAAATCTCCTCTTTTTAGTATGAATTCTCTAGTGCTTCTGTAGAATACAACAGTAGTTAACATGCAAATTCTGTTCAGCAGAAGGAGAACAGCTTAATTCATTGCCACTTATAAGGTTTATATGATACAAGGGACCCCTTAGTTCAACACCATTTACAAGCTAAAACCAGAAAAGAAGAATGCCCCAGCACAATCAGCAACCCTCTCAGCCCCAAAATTAAAAACTAAAAATTCCATTATATTCTGAATATTCAATAGGCATCGTTCACAGAATGATTTCAGAAAAAACACAACACAATAGAAGTTCCGAATCTGTGTGCTTTGTAGGCACTTTACGGCATACTAGACTAATGAAATGGGTGGGATAATCATAAATTCATGCACTCCCTTAGCCATATGAAATAGGTTCACTGCACAGAAGCAAGTTTTTGTTGAATTATCTTCCTAGTTGTGAGTCATTTCTTCTCCCTTTCTTTCTTTCCTCTAATTTCTCTATTCCAAGTTGACAGAGGCCCTTAGAAGTCTATATAAATTTGCTCTAATTTGTGCAACAACAAAGTTGAGTACATCCACATGCTCAACCTGAGACTTGGTTTTTATATGTTTATGTAAGACATGAAAATGTTTTTATTAAAAAAATAAGATAATCATGGGGGGAGGGGTGAAGAAGGAGAAGCAAATGAAGCACCATACCACTTCGGGACAACATTGCATACAGCAAGATACCCCCCATTGAGTGACCAACTGCAAGCAACTTGTCATCCTTTGGTTTGCATTTAGTCCTTATATACGCCATCTACATTAATTAAATTGGTTTGTTAAACATATTACAGTGACACTCTCCATTAGAAAGGTATATCTTACTCCAATTTTTCCTATTAACAATGTACAACTTGTAAAGGAAGAAATAGTGAATCAGATTAGCTTCCATGTCTCAAGTTACAAATAATCAAGAGATATCACTCACTGCAGCAGGAACATCCTCTTCTAGATAATGATCAAAGTCCCAATCATACTTCACTTTAAGGCCCAGTAGTGTCTGGAAATCTTCTATCCTAGGAGAGAGAAATGATCTTGCAAGTCAATAAACTGAGAAGATACATATCTTTGACCTTTTTCAGTGACATCCATGATACTTTGACCCAAATCCGCTATATGGCCATCAATTACAGAATTTCCCTCTGCCTCTCGTAATCCTGGAAGTATTCCCCCAATATGGTTAGAGTTCACCAGACTGAGCATCTCCTATGAGTTATGTTATTTGCTCAAACAACTTACGATACAGAATCTTTCATGGACCTCCATTTTAAAAAAGCTAGGGAGTCTTTCAAACAAGATTGATGAAAGTTTCGGTCAATGTTCCCACCATTGTGATTTATCAGATCCAATAATCACCTAAGTCCATGTATTTTAGGTGGAAGGGGACGTCTATTTCTGCAAAATGAAGTACGCACCATTCTTGTAATGATCAATAGTGGAATCAATCTGCTCAGAAATAGCATGGGTAGGTTTCCTGCCCTCCATGATCCTCATTCCTTTGGTGCTCAACCCAGCCCCACGAACTTCCAGAATCCATGTATCAAATCCTTGGCTAGACATGTAACGTGCAAATGAAGACTGCCAACAGCATAAATTCATTAGGAAAGACCAAAACAAGGAATTCAACAAAACAAAAGATACATCAACAGTAATGTTAGGTAAATGAAGAATGCCACAGGACTTGTTAGGTATGCCATTCAACAGGCAACCACATGTGCACAATATATATTGGTTCAAACCAAATCAACACTCGCCTCAGAAAGCACATAGCACTTACAAAGTTGACCTATTTTTCATGAAAGGGCTAGCATTGTAATGCTCTCAACCTTTTATAGCCTAGAAAGATGTGTTTGGTCAAACACAATGATAACTTTTATCATACAAAATTAAGGGGACAAAAAGATGATCCATCCTCAAATTCCTTCCTGCCTTTTGCTATCTATTTTTAACACCAAAATTCTGGCCTTAGAATGACAGTCTATATCTCTTAGTCTTTCTCTAGAGTTTCATCATACAATCATTTCAAGTTGTTCCTTTAATTTTAGGCCTTTTCCTTTCCAAATTAAAGACAGAATTTGAAATCCAAGACCAACAAATTAAGGTTTTATCCGGTAAAAGAACTTTTAACTTCAGCTTTTCAGGAGTGCCAAAGTCATTCTAAAAAAATAAAAATCTACTTTTTTGGAAAAAAAAGCAGAAAAATGAAAATTGAAAAAGAACATGGATCAATCCAGTGGGGGATGCACCATCCTCCCATTTTCCCGCCACAAGTGAAAATTGGTATAAAACGAAGATAAAATGAAATGGATCTAAAGAAAGATCTTCATTTCAATAAAACAACTCAAAATTAACCATCAACTTAGGTTGTTATTTTGACAATGACACACATTCTATGCGTTCAAATTTTGGCACCAAGCCTTCTAAACACAAAAATGGCACTGAGGAAATTAAATAAAGCCATTCTCAAATATGTTGTTACTTATCAAATTGTTGGTACCAAACCTTCCAAAATTAATCTTGGCCTAAGCAAGAAATTAAATAAATTAAACAATATATATTAAAATGGATTTCTACCTAAAAAATATTGATAATTATTTAACAAAGCATAGAGCACCTGATTCTACACAAGGCATTACATAGGAAATCTAATTTGGATCCATTTGGAATTAGGTAACAATTAAATGAATTCTAAAGACTCGTTATTTTCAATTTTTCATGTCAAAATTTAAATTAAGTAAGAATTTAGAGAGCTCCTAAGATTCATTGAATTTAGAATAAACAAGATGTACTCTAAAAGTGCATCTCATTATCTCAGAACATCTGCTCATCCAAAGATTAATAAATTTACACTTTCAAAGTAATTAGGTCACATGCTTAAAACCACATCAATTTAAATTACCTATCAATTAAATTCTTTTTGGATTATATCCTATGCTATATGGATTTGATATTAAATTTAATTAGTTCCAATACCCAACAGCAAATTAATTTGGATTACATAACCCAAATCAAAATTTAACAGTGTCACATTTTCAATAGAAGAATAATTGGGTGATATAGCTCACACTAACAGACTGATTGGGTCCCATAACCAGTGTTAATTAACTGAAGATACATACATCGCACCAAAATCAATGAAGCCACGTACTTAAAGTTAAATCAATTGACTATAAAATTCAATTGGCTCTTATACCAAATTTACTAATTTATATGCATTACACCCCCGCCTCACCATGCTAGTTTTTCTGTGAATATATATAACTAATTAGACTTCTTAGCAAAGAAATAAACCGATCAATCATGCGTTACACACCAAGAAGTATAAATTTGCTTGATCCCTGTCAAAGGGTATGTAGGCAGTTAATATAACATGAAGCTCATCCCTGGGCTTTGTGACATGCCTTTTGAAGAATAATCACCAATATTGACCGCAGCGTTTTGATAATAAAACTTCCAATACTTCATTCTAGTTGAAGTTGTCAGATTTCAGAAATTACGCAAGTTGTTGAAAAAAGCCCACAGGCTTTGCGCCAATATAAAAATTTAGCAAATGACACGTACGAGGAGAAGTACTATCCAATACTAGAAATATTCCCGATGATTGGAGCTAATCATATATCTATGTATGTAAGCAATACAAGGATTGCAAACAAACTCACCCCAGGGGAGAGATCAAATCCAATCGCATTCGTCCCACTCCAGACAAAAGCACCAGGGGGTGATTCCTCGGAGGCGCCTGTGACAGAATTTAAACACACACGAGTTAATTGCACTATTTGTCAACAGAGAACGATTCCACACATGTAATTAAAGATGGATCAGAATGAGAGAGCGCTAACCTTACGAGGAGGCTTGTAGCGCCAGAGAGCGAGGCGCCAATCGGAATTATGGACGGTGACATAGTGAAGCTCATCGGCGGTACAAATCGGAGGCTTGCTCGGATCCGCATTGACCACTCCCAGCCTAGCCAGCGTGCGAAAGAAGGGGTAGTCTCGGGTCTGGAGTCGATGTGCGCACAGATTGATCGGACTGCAGTCTGGATCGCCGACGGAAAAACGCCATTTCGCAATTTATACAGTGTTTCCGGTGACATTTCTTTTCCGTCCACGGACGTTCTTATAGTCTGGTTCTTTCAAACGCAAGATATTTTTTTTCTTACGCCTGCCTGTATTTATTTTTCTTGAAATTATAAAAAAAATATTTATTTTGATAAATTCAACAATTTGTCCAAACTTTAAGAGAGTACAAAGAGAGCCTTCGGATTTATTCAAAAGCAGGTTTTTAAAAAAGATATAAAAAGGGGTGCGGTTGAAATTATACACCAAATTTTGGGGTAACATGTTTTAGAACGCCAATTAGCCTTCAAATCATAAGTCATTTTAACACTGCATTGAAAACACTCAAATCATCAAATAATTAGTTAACGTAACCAATACTTTGTTTCTCTAATTAAATTCTCGTATTAGAGTCTTGTATATAAATAGATTCTACTGAAAAAACTCTACCTTATCATGAAACTTTAATTAATTTGAATTAGATTAGTAAAAATTCAATAAATTTTTAGATATTAATAATTTTGCAAAAAGAAAAAAGAAAGAAAGACAAACCAAATCTTGAGCTAGAAAATCAATCTGCTGTACCAAAATAAAAATCAGCTCAAAATTTCATTACTGCTAGGTTATCGTATGAAAAAGGCCAGAGAGAGAGAGAGAGAGAGTGCGTGGATACCAAATGCTCACATACACGAGCCAATCATTGGGCAGAGCAACCTCACCAAAACCATTATCACTGGCGGCCTTTGTCAACACAAGATAAATGGAAATGCGAGTATTCCATAAATAGCAACGCTTTACTGCATTAATTGAATTGAGAAGCATGACTAGAGACGTTGGGTTTCTTTTTCTTCCAATCTGAAAAAGAGTGATTACACAAAGCCACTACCATTTGACTTGCCATGGACATTTGGTATCAAGTGTTCAAGGATTTTAGGCCAAATTGGGGGAAAAAAAGAAAAAGAAAAAGGGCCAAGAGTTAAAGATTTTATAGCTTTCTTCCTCAAGCCGAAAAAGCTAATCCAAATACTTGCTTTTAGCTTTTGGAATAAAGTTAGAATACCAAATGCCGCTACACTTTTGCCAAAGAGTGAATGGACGTTATCCATTGCTCCCAAATTTCCCGTTCCATTACGCTCTCCCAAATCATGATAGGGTCGCTAGAGCAAGAATGTGCTCTACAATCTCGGCAGAGGCATTGGGCTTTGCAGCCTTCAGCGCCTTCTCGGACATCTCTGCCCTCAGACTGTCATTCTCTGTAGAACAAAGAAAAAAGGGGGAAAAAGGAAAAGAAGGAAACAAATAAATAAGGAAGCAATTGAACAAATATGTGAAGGGAGATTGAGGATGTCATTGTTGCATCAGAGAAAATTTCTCCAAAGAGATGCATTTTCTTTAACATAAACATCTACTCTAGCTAGGAAAGCCGATCAAAGCATTAATGAAAAGAAAAAAGTTGGGTTTTCTTGGAAAACAAAACATAACCAAAGAGTTCCAGAGATTTGTGCATCATGTGCATTCTTAGAAGTACACAGACTACCTTGTGTATTCGTGGTCACAGCATATCATCACGTCAAAATTAGTCTTATCAGGAGTATAATTGACAAAAATGTAAAATGAATCAGGCCGTATTCGTCCTAATCAATGAAGGTGTTATTTCTAAAATGTCAATGCAATGTGCAGATCTCCAACTCTTTGACATGCTTCATGACAAAGGACAATTTCAAAGTTCTAAAATTCAAGGTTCCAAAAAAATTTAACAGACAAACATATGCAGGGGAAAGAAGGGAGAAAAAGGACAAGAGGACATAAATAGCATTAGTCCATAAACCGCTGGAAATTTAAGAGTCGTTTCAAGATGCATACCCATGGAAAAATCAATATTAGTTTTACTGTAACAATTAATAACCAATTGCCTCAAGGCAGGAGCTGACTTGAGAATATTCTTATTAACTTGACAGGTAGGGTGCTCAGCACTCTCAACGGGTCAAACACGTTCAAATCTGATAATAATTTATTAAGTTTCAGTTCTTTTTTTCTTTTCTTAATCCAACTTGAGGCACTACTATCTTCTATTGTTAGCTTATACAACAAGAGGTTCACTTTGCATATGGATTCAGTTGATATTGGAATATGGAATCTGCTAAATAATAATTATAAGTTCAACTCTTCATTATTGAGCAGCAACTAATAATTCTCAGAAAACCTGGGACAAACTATGCAGACCCTTTCAAATCCTTGGGTAAGATGGCATACACCTTGCTGGCTTTATCCAAATTCAATATTCAAATTTAAACATATAGACATCTGATACGATGTTAAAAATCCTTATCTGTATAAATGTGCTAGTTAGCGACGTTTCTAAGTTCTAATAAGAAGAAAATAAAGCAACATTCTAGATTTTGAGAAGAAAGGAGGTTAAATTCTGGTTGGGTT